GCTAGCAATGGCATAATATTACAATAATAGCACATTTTATGGTCCTATGCCTTCCACAGATGATATAAATACTGTACATATAAATACATTTAGACCATGCACTTAACTTAGTGATTGCTATCGGGATGTGAAGAGACTTTCAACCAGCATAACAAAAAAATGTTTCTAAACCAGATCACCTACCCTGTCTTTAAAGCAAAAACTGTCATAACTTAAACTTTAAAGCAATTGCAAATGTACATCTAGCTATTCACTTTCAATTCTGAGAAAAAAAGTCTTTAGTCTCACAAGGTTTTATAATAGAAATGTTAAACAACTGACAGTCACTTCAATAAAGCAAAACTTTACTCGACTATTTCAAATTTCACTGTTGACTGAATCATTTATATGATGCATGTAATTCATAACGTATGAGACAAGAAATATTTTGCCATTTTGCATGTTCAACATAATATGCATAAGAAAATAAGTGCATATTTAAAAATATTATTTGCAAATAGTTCAAATGGATTATTTTAAGGAAAAATTTATATTCTTGTTCTTTTACGTTCTTTTTTTCTTTATTCACTTAAAGGGATAGTTCACCCAAAAATGAAAATGTGATGTTTATCTGCTTACCCCCAGGGCATCCAAGATGTAGGTGACTTTGTTTCTTCAGTAGAACACAAACAAAGATTTTTAACTCCAGCCGTTGCAGTCTATCAGTCATATAATGCATGGCAATGGTAACAAAATCTATGAGAGTAAAAAAAACATGCACAGACAAATCCAAATTAAACCCTGCGGCTCGTGACGACACATTGATGTCCTAAGACACGAAACGATCGGTTTGTACGAGAAACCGAACAGTATTTATACAATTTTTTTTATCTCTAATACACCAAAAATTATATAAATACTGTTCGGTTTCTGGCACAAACCGATCATTTAATGTCTTAGGACATCAATGTTTCGTCACAAGCTGCAGGGTTTAATTTGGATTTGTCTGTGCATGTTTATTTTACTCTCATAGATTTTGTTACCATTGCCATGCATTATACGACTGATAGACTGCAACGGCTGGAGTTAAAAATCTTCGTTTGTGTTCTACTGAAGAAACAAAGTCACCTACATCTTGGATGCCCTGGGGGTAGGCAGATAAACATCACATTTTCCTTTTTTGGTGAACTATAAATCCATTTATTGTTTAATGATTTAATTCTGTTATTTTTCATTCCTACAATACTCATTAAAGTCAACTAAAACTAAAATCATAAAAAATTGTTACATTAAAAAATGTTAATTGAAATACAATGATATATATATAAAAAAATGCAGATAGTTGCCAGGACGACAATTCTAAATTTAATTTAGTTTAACATGATATAACAAAGTAACTAAAATGAGACACATAAGGTTTCATTTGTTAACAGTTAGTTAACAGTAGTTGACATGAACAATACTTATATAGCATTTATTAATCTTTAATAATTAATCTTATTTAATGTTAAGTTCAACATTTGTTAAATACATTATTAAAATCAAGTTATATTCGTTAACATTAGTTAATGTACTAAGAACTAACAAGAACATGAACGTTTTTATTAACTAACATTAATAAAGGTTAATAAATGCTGTAAAAATATACTGTTCATTGCTAGTTCATGTATTAACTATTGTTAACAAAAAGAAATGAGACCTTATTGTAAAGCATTATCAAAATGAAAAAACTATAGAGGGGGGAATTTATATATATATTTTGGAACAAACACTCAGCGCATCAGGGAGGCAGAGGAAAGGCCTAATTCACCTGATGCTGCTGGATCCAGGTGCTCTGGAGAAACAGAGAACTCAAACTTCTCAAGTGAGAGGAGAACTCTGAATTCAGAGGAATAATGTTGCTCATTCTAGGTAACCCTTAGATAAAAGGGGAGCATTGCTCAATACTACCAGGAGGACAGCCCATGGAGCTAGGAATCCAACTCCTCAGAGAGGATTAACGCTCGAAAGAAACATCATACTCACAATAACCCTCAATGGTGAGGGGGGGTGATGCTTCAAGAGGATATCCTGGTGATCGGGAAAACCGCGGGAAGCAGATGGCTGCCCCTCTTTCCTCGAAAAGAGAGACAAACAAGAGCGGAGCTTTTTTCCTTGGAAAAAACGCTCGCAGGGCACGCCGATTGCCCCCTCGGAGACATCGCGTGCGTGCTCTTTGCCCAAACAAAACAACGCATAGATCGTGTGTGTCATCAGATGTTAAACAACGTCAACATGGATGCACACATCCTTAAATGCTTTGCTAGTGCTCGCCATAATGAGATAAATAGAGATCGCTCTTACCACAGAAATGCACGCTTCAAACAAAACAGTCAATGAAGACGAAGAAGAGAATGATGTGTAGCTCCCGGTGCCTATTTATACTATAGTCGCACCGGTAGTGATGTCATGGCTGTCGCTGGCCAACGAGTTGGTGTTTTTTCAATGTATGCTTCAGACACGGGTCACGACGAGGCGTTCCCCATAGCGACCCCTAGAGGACGCAGTTCAAAGTTCCCATGAAAGGGAACTATGGAAACCCGTTTCCGCCACTGAATAAAAAATAAAACAAGGTAACTGTTTTTTACTTCTCATAATTTGCGAGTTTATATCTTGCAATTCTGACTTTTTTTCTCACAATTGCGAGTTTATATCACGCAATTCTGACTTTATAGCTCGCAATTTTGACTTTATAACTCACAATTGCGAGTTTATATCACACAATTCTGAGAAAAAAGTCAGAATTGTGAGATAAAAAGTCGCAATTACCTTGTTTTAGTTTTTATTTAGTGGCGGAAACGGGCTTCCATAGAAAACGACTAAAAATGAAAAAAAAAACTTAAACATTTTTAACGAAAATGCAAAACATAAAAACTAATTTAACATAAATACTATAATAGTTTCTCAATGATACTATAGCCTGTCAATGAAAACCATATTTCATTTATCATGATATGAGCCCTTTACCATACATACACAAAAAAATGCTGGGTTAAATATAACCCAGCGCTGGGCTAAAAAGGGACAAACCCAGCTATTGGGTTGGCGAGTTTATATCACGCAATTCTGACTTTATAGCTCGCAATTTTGACTTTATAACTCACAATTGCGAGTTTATATCACACAATTCTGAGAAAAAAGTCAGAATTGTGAGATAAAAAGTCGCAATTACCTTGTTTTAGTTTTTATTTAGTGGCGGAAACGGGCTTCCATAGAAAACGACTAAAAATGAAAAAAAAAACTTAAACATTTTTAACGAAAATGCAAAACATAAAAACTAATTTAACATAAATACTATAATAGTTTCTCAATGATACTATAGCCTGTCAATGAAAACCATATTTCATTTATCATGATATGAGCCCTTTACCATACATACACAAAAAAATGCTGGGTTATATTTAACCCAACATTTTTTAGAGTATATATATATGAGACATAAATGCCCAATAAAGCTAAAAACAGCTACTGTATATGTGACCACAAAGATATTCCTGCATCACAGAGAGTACCGAGTGTGAAAACTGAGAGAAAAGAGTGAAAGACAGAAACAGAGAGAGAAGCACAACGCGAGCCACGCCCTCAGCCGTCGTCTTGGTGAAGACCGTGGGCTCGGCCGACTTCATGTAACTCCACATTTTCTCGTACACCGCAATCTTTGACCTCTAGAGGACGCAGCAAAAGACATGCTGTCAGTCCTGAACGCTTTGCTAAAATGTAGTGCTGTCCAACGATTAATCGCATCCAAAATAAACGTTTTGGTTTACATAATATATATTTGTGTACTGTGTATATTTATTTTGCATATAAATACACACACGTACAGTATTTATTTAGAAAATATTTACATGTATATATTTATATTCATAAAATGTATATTATACATAAATATATTTAATATATAAACCGATGAAATCCACAGGCAAATAATCCACATAAGAGAACAGCAACAACACATTCAACTTAGACGAGACCCGACAACAATGAACAGCAACAGAGCAACTTAAATACACCTGAACTGAATGATGAAATCAAATCAACAACCGAGACAACCAACACAACAGGGAAAATGTCCAAACTGAAACAAAGTCCAAACTTAGTGATATTGTGACATTTTGTCCCATTAGAGCAGGGGAGTCCAATCCTGCTTGAGAGGGCCACTGTCCTGAAGAGTTTAACTCCAACCCCAATTAAACACACCTGAACCAGCTCTTCAAGGTCTTACTAGGCATACTAGAAACTTCCAGGCAGGTTTGTTGAAGCACGTTGGAGATAAACTCTGCAGGACACCGGGCCTCCAGGAGTGAGTTTGGTGACCCCTGCATCAGAGGCTCATGTACTGTGAGCGTGTGCTGCCCTCATCAGGCCAACAGCTTTCAGTATTGTTTAACTCAGTCTTACACAAATTCGTAGATGTTGTACTTTTCATTTCCGTGTATGAAAACCTTTATACATATGCAATTCTAATAAGATAGAGCTCATGTAGACGTTATGCATTTAAAAAAAGATCTATTTTATTATCAGGGTACATTTGGTTCTTATGGACAGAAGCTACACTCTAAAAAGTTCTGGGTTAAATATAACCCAGCGCTGGGCTAAAAAGGGACAAACCCAGCTATTGGGTTGTTTTGAACCCAACCGCTGGGTCAAAACAACTCAACCGCTGGGCCAAAACAACCCAATAGCTGGGTTTGTCCCTTTTTAGCCCAGCGCTGGGTTATATTTAACCCAACATTTTTTAGAGTATATATATATGAGACATAAATGCCCAATAAAGCTAAAAACAGCAACTGTATGTGTGACCACAAAGATATCACTGCATCACAGAGAGTACCGAGTGTGAAAACTGAGAGAAGGACAGAACAGACAGAGAAAAGAGAGAAAGACAGCAGGAAGGAACAGAAACAGAGAGAAGCGCAGCAGGGTGGGTGGAATACTATAACAGTGCTGTGATTGGTCGGTTGTTATAATACTCCACCCACCTTAGCTGCGATCCTTTGGGCGTGGCCACCCCGTAGCCCTTGGAGTCCAGATTCCCTCCGACCTTCATGGTGTCGCAGGGCTTGCGCTGCTCCGTGTACTCGTTCATGGTGGACTCCAGCAGGAAGGCGTATTTCCCTTTGGACTTGCGCACGCGAGCCACGCCCTCAGCCGTCGTCTTGGTGAAGACCGTGGGCTCGGCCGACTTCATGTAACTCCACATTTTCTCGTACACCGCAATCTTTGACCTCTAGAGGACGCAGCAAAAGACATGCTGTCAGTCCTGAACGCTTTGCTAAAATGTAGTGCTGTCCAACGATTAATCGCATCCAAAATAAACGTTTTGGTTTACATAATATATATTTGTGTACTGTGTATATTTATTTTGCATATAAATACACACACGTACAGTATTTATTTAGAAAATATTTACATGTATATATTTATATTCATAAAATGTATATTATACATAAATATATTTAATATATAAACCTAACATATTTTTCTTAAATATATACATGCATGTGTGTCTATTTATATATAAGCAATAAATAGACACATTACACACACATTATGTAAACAAAAACTTTTATTTTGGATGCGATTAATCGCAATTAATCGTTTAACAGCACTACTAAAATTAGATTTACATCAATTACAATTTAGTGTTTAAATAGTGATGCAAAAACTAAAACTGTAGATGTCAATATTTCATACAATTTGCTTTAGTAATTGTGTATGTGTGTGATGTTCAGCTTTTTAAAAAGACTTCTTGTTGTTCATTTTGCACAACCTGAGTTGTCTTTTGGCACTCCTAGTAAGTCAAATGTCAGCTATGCTAAAAATTATTTAAAGATAGATTTAAACAATAAGTAAGAGATAATATACAGCCAGTCAGTCTCAAAATAAACCTAATTTTCATATCAGTATTATAACAGTTCATAACAGTATTATTGTCATATCATTGATATACTATTATAGTTGTTAATATTTGAAATATTTTAATATTCATATCAAATATCTTTGTTTCTATATGAAATTTTAATACTTTCGGTTTTCACTTTTTTTTTGTCATTTTAAAAAAATATGCCCATACTGTTTTTTAAATTCATATTTATATATTACTTTTAGTACATTTAGTTTTAGTTATTTTAGTACATAAAGTCAAACTAAACAAAAATAAGAAATTCTGCCTTGGCAAATAGCTGTAATAAAATTAATTTAAATAATTACATTTAATTTTCGTTAATGTTAATTTTATTTCAATAATCAATTTTTTTTAATGGTTTTAGTTTTAGTTAACTATAATAACCTTGTCTTACGCAGAGCAAAGGCGTCTTTTATCATCCTGAACTTTACATTTTCCTGCTCATTATGTTGATATACTGTATGTACACGCAATATTGATCTGATCTAAAATTATTTTATGATCCGAGAATAAATATATAGTAAAATATCACTACTGTTCAATCTTTTGAGGTCAGTAAGATGTTTTTGAAAGAAATCTCTTCTGCCCACCAAGGCTGCATTTATTTAATCAAAAACACAGTAAATATTGTAAAATATTATTACAATTCAAAATAACTTTTCTTTATGAATATATCTTAAAATATGATTTATTCCTGTGGTCAAAGCTGTATTTTCAGCATCATTACTCCAGTCTTCAGTGTCGCACTATCCTTCAGAAATCATCCTAATATTCTAATCTGCTGCTCAAGAAACATTTCTGATTATTATCAATGTTGAAAACAGTTGTGCTGCTTCGTATTTTTGTCAAAACCGTGATGCATTTTATTTTTCAATATTCTCTGATGAATAGAAAGTTCAAAAGAACAGCCTTTATTTGAAATAGAAACATTCTGTAACATTATAAATGCATCCTTTCTAAATAAAAGCATTAATTTCTTTGAAAAAAAAAGTACTGACCCCAAAGTTGATCAGTTTTGTGGTTACTGAAATGTCATTTGTCAAACTATAACAGATCCTATGCTCCAGCACGGTGTAGTCAGCTCTGAAGTGTGCACTACTGTGCTGGCTTTGCTGTAAAAAAGACGGATGGGTCTAATATGGCTGAACTGTGTGTGTTTGTCCTGTGAGATATCATATTTGACATGCTGGTGTCCCAGTGTGTCTTGTACTTGATCATTTGCACCTCTTTTATACACAGGCTTAGTCTTAAGCTGCAGTATGTGAGAGGAAAGCAGCGGAGCGTGACGGACAACCGGCCCATTATAATGTTCGTCACGTCCAGTCTGGAGCGCCGCTGTGCCATAACACTCCAAAATAAAACATCACACGAATAAACAACACCCTCGACAAACCTGCGCTCAGACACAAACGCCCCAGAACAAATGACAAACAAACTCACGCGTTAATCCAAACACAACGGGACGCCTGACATTTACTTATTCCCTGGGTAACTGATCAAATGTTTCTGGCCAGTATATCAGCGACGCTCTGCTGAGGCGGTGAGACAGGTGCCACAGTTATTGTGATGGGATTACAGAGTGAGACAGATTAGATTTGATATTGTTGCACAAATGTAAACTGTATTATTGCATACTGTGTTGCATGTATTATCACATTTATCTGCATATTACGAGTCAAACGTTTAGAATCTTTAATGTTTTTGAAATTCTGCTTATCGAGGCTGCATTTATTTGATCAAAAATGTGGTAAAAATTTATGAAATATGATTACAATTTAAAAGAACTGTTTTCTGTTTGAATATAATGTAAAATGTAATGTATTTCTGTGATCAAAGTTGAATTTTCAGCATCATTACTCCAGTCTTCAGTGTCACATGATCTTCAGAAATCAGTATAATATGCTGATTTGCTGCTCAGTTATCATTAGTGCTCAAGTATTATCAGACAGTGGTTGGAAACATTTTATTCTGGATTTTTGATTTATAGAAAGTTCAAAAGAACAACATATATTTGAAATTGAAATCACCTGTAACATTATAACTGTCTTTATACTGTCACTTTTAATCAATTTAATGCATCCTTGCTGAATTAAAGTATTAATTTCTTTACAAAAAATAAGTCTTACATACCTCAACTTTTGAATGGTAGTGTATCATGGATACCACAAAAATATTAAATGGCAAAACTGTTTTCAACATTGATATAATCAGAAATGTTTCTTGAACAGCAAATCAGCATATTATACTGATTTCTGAAGATCATGTGACACTGAAGACTGGAAAAATTCAGCTTTTATCACAGGACTAAATTACATTTGACATTATAGTCACATAGAAAACACGTATTTCAAATTGTAAAACATATTTCAAATTTTTAGTTTTTACTGTATTTTTGATCAAATAAAAGCAACCTTGGTGACATTTAAAAAAACATTAAAAAAAAGTAATTTATTCCTATGTACATTTTGCATAAGGCAAGAAGATTTTAAGATATTTTAAACATTAACATGTTTTTTTCTGTAAAGCTGCTTTAAAAACTATGTGCATTGTGAACTAAATTTGACTTGACTTTGACTAGATTGGTGGAAAGAATGAGAAAGTATGAAGATAGTGAGACAGGTTGGAAGAGACAATGAGGAGAGGGAGAGTGAGAGAGTTTAGTGCAGATTGAATGAGAAAATATGGCAGAGAAAGTGAGACAGGTCGGCGGAACCCGAATGGCAGTGAGAATGTGAAAATGAATGTTTTTCCATGTAGGGGTGTAACATCACACCATCTGTGTATGACAACAGGGAGACAGATACAGAGTGAGACGCATGCGGCGCTGCTCAGCTAATTAATGAACAGCCCATTCATTCAGCTCATGTAGATTCTCTCTCATATTACCCGTCTCTCTCTCTCCAGCCATTGGTCTTTCTCCCTCTATCACTTTGTCTTTGCTCTCTGAGTAAATTGCTTTTTTAGCTCCTCTCCTGACTGCAGACAGGCTCTCTATGTAGATGTGAGTGCAGGTTTGGCTCTTATACTCTTTGGAGTCTGATTCAATTTCTGATCTATTACTGAGATGACTGAACTGTAATGTGCATGTCAGCCTGCTCTGTCTGTCTTTGGATGCCTTAAACTACAAAACACAATATCCTGACCCATGCAGTGATAAAAAAAAAGAAAAGAATTTGGAGCAGCTGTTATGATCAATTAATATATATATATAGTTTGGAATAATTACTATTTTGTAATGTTTTTGAGAGAAGTGTCTTTTGCACATTTTGCTGTATTTATTTAAAAACAGTAATAATTTTGTGAAATATTTTTACAATTTAATATAACTGTTTTCTATGTGAATATAATGTAAAATGTAATTTATTTCTGTGATCAAAGCTGTATTTCCAGCATCATTACTCCAGTCTTCAGTGTCACATGATCTTCAGAAATCATTCTAATATGCTGATTCGCTGCTCAAGAAACATTTCTGATTATTATTAATGTTGAACAGTTGTGCTGCCAAATATTTTTGTGGAAACTGTGATACATTTTATTTTTCAGGATTCACAGATGAATAGAAAGTTCAAAAGAAAACATATAATTATATATATATATATAATTTTATAGATTTCCACCAGTTGACACAATTCTACCACCAGATGGTAACTCACCAATCTAAATGCATTTTCTATTGGTTTGGTGTGATTTTCTGTTTTATTATAATAACCATTAATATTATTCTCTCACCCTGAAGAACTCTTTGGTGGAACCGGAATCAAGAGTCCCGTAGGCGATTTCTGTCTGTTTGGCAAGGTCTTCTGCGCTCTCGATAGGCGACACCATTCTCTCCACGGTGAGGAAAGCGGCCAGGTTTGCCGTGTAGGAGGAAATAATGATGAGAGTGAAGAACCACCAAACGCCTCCGACTATACGACCAGACAGAGACCTGAGAGACACACAGAGACACAAGGTGTAAAAATGAAGAGAATGCACAATTAAGCTGTTAAAAATCACAACACTGAAATTCAGATTGTCATGCCTCCATCTGATTACATCTGGTTCATTCTGAAGACAAACGTTCACATTATGCAGCATGAAATAGCTCATCTGTAAACTGCTGTTTCCATTTTGTTGACACACAATCATCAATTTATGACAAGTACAGAGACTGATTGCACCAGTGCTCATTTATTTAGAGCGTCCCTGCATCAATCAGACCTAAAAAATGTATGCACAAAGCACTGAACAGGTTTTGCATCTTTGCAGAAGACTGACATATTACAGACCTTGTCTGGAGACAATTAAAGTAATCCACACAACTTCAGTCCATCAATTAACATCTTGTGAAGTGAAAAGCTGCATGCTTGTAAGAAACAAATCCATCATTAAGACTTTTTTTTAACTTTAAACCATTGCTTCTGGCCAAAATAGGAGTCCATAATCCATAATAAGGCTTCCTCCAGTCCATCTCTTGTCTCTCACATCAAAATCCACCCACATATTTGTTTAGAGCTGTTTTGAACTGTTTTTACTTTTACTCAATCTGTGCAGATTTCTCTCCTGATTCAGACCAGACCACTTTTTCACTGGAGAAAGTAATATTATGGATAGAGGTTTGAAGTTAAAAACGTCTTGATGGATTTGTTTCAGCTTTTGTCTTCTCCAGATGTTAACTGATGGACTGGAGAGGTGTGGATTATTGTGATGTTTTTATCAGCTGTTTGGACTCTCATTCTGACGGCACCCATTCACTGCAGAGCATCCATTGCTGAGACACTGATGCAATGCTGCATTTCTCCAAATCTGCTGAAGAAACAAACTCATCTGCATCTTGGTTGGCCTGAGGGTGAGTAAATGTTTATTACATTTTCATTTTTGGGCGAACTATTCCTTTAAGCTCATTGAGCTTCAGTCTCCCTATTAAAGACACATATTGTAAAAATAGTTAGAAACAGAAATTGAGTAAGATATATGATATCTATATTTGATTTCATTTTGCACATTTTGTCTTTATTTTTAGACTTCCAAACAATCTCTGGCCTCACTCCGCCAGATGGTAATATTAAATTTCTGCTTTAGAAATGACTTTACACTATTTCAAGAAGTGGCAGAACACTCATTATAAGCTTATAAGACTGTAGCGCATCTGTGAGACCTGCAGTAAATCCAGAAAAAATTACAGTCTTCAAAACGAAACCAAGATCTCATTAAAAACATGCCATACTCTGACTTTAGACTAATCTACTGAAACACACCACCAGCTACACTGACCTGAGTTTATCAAGAAAAATGGCAGAACACACAGATTCATTCAAAAGCCTTAGTAAAATGTAATTACCCTAAAATACCAGGCAAAATGCATTTTATACGGCAGTGCACTGCAGAGAACGGAACGTGTCTTCACAGAAGCTGTGATGGTAATAAACTCCGTTAAAATGTCTGTAGAACTGCCCAATGGACTACTTGCACTGAGCCTCGTGATGCACTTCCGTTTTGAAATAATACTACTCGGTTATTTCCGGTTATGTATATTTTCAATGTGCTGTAATCATCTAGTTGACTTAAAGGAGACATATTATGCCCCTTTTTACAATAAGTAATATAAGTCTCTGGTGTCCCCAGAATGTGTCTGTGAAGTTTCAGCTCAAAATACTCCACAGATCATTTATTATATCATTTTGAAAATGCCTATTTTGAGTGGAAGCAGACACACGCTGATTTTCGTGTCTGTCTTTTTAAATGCAAATGAGCTGCTGCTCCCCGGAGTCCCCGCCCCCTTTTCCAGAATAAAGCTGCACAGCTCGTACCTGCTAAAAACATCTGTTTCGGTTTTGATTATCATGTTTATTGCACTGAAATCATGCGTTTTAAACCATATGAGTTTAAACTTCTGATATAGGGTTTTCTGAGCGCACACATACGAAGCACACGCACAAAAAGCGGCTGTCACAGCATGTGAGTACTAAACTAAGTTCTCATTCACACACAAGTTTACGTTAAAAACACACATGAGTTAGAAAAACAGTCAGTTATGTCTGTGAAGGTAAACAGCTGGGAAATAAATTGCATGTTTATTTTAGATCTGTGTGGCAGCAGCAATATCCAGTTAATAAATAAATAAATCCACTGCTCTCTTGTCTCCTCTGAGGCTGGGACTGTAAATAGTGTTCTGTGCTCGTCTGTGCAGCCAAAGACAGAACAGTTAGCATGTTTTGCTCAAACTTTCTCCATGGCATTAGAACTGGTACACCATTGTCGCTTGCGAAATCAAAATGACGGCGCCTTGGGTGGAAATTTACAGATTAAGGGGCGGTAATATTATAATGAGATCCCTTTGCCACGTCACCAGATGTGCTGGTTTTCTCAGACTCTTGGAGAAAAAGTCTTACCAAAACAAAGTTACTGGGTTAATCTTTTTCACGTTTCCTTGGTTGGTAGATGCACCGGGGACCTGATTATAGCACTTAAAACCTGGAAAAGTCAGATTTTCATGATATGTTACCTTTAAACGCTTATTAAAATGAGAGTCCGCGGGATGATTTCAAAATCCGGACATTTCAGAGACAGGAGAAGAGATATTCTGATGATTACTGTGTTCAGAATTTTCCAAACTCAACAGAACTTTACATTTTAATCCAACAGAAGCCGATCTAAGAAAGCGGTGGCGGTGTTTATCAGTCAAACTGTAAATTCAACAGGTATGAAATATAATCAGTAAGAGAAGAATCCTGTTTATGAGAAGACAAGCACTGGACCTTGGCAGGTTAGTGAGAAAATATATTTATTATTCAGAATGCACGTTTGGAAGCGAAATATATTTATAGGAAGATTTCAGCGGGTTGAATATAATTTATGTTAATGCAAAGAATATGTTTCATTGTTTTTTAAAAAAATCGCAAGTCCTGAAACGTAGTAATAATCTGCCTTCTCATTAAAATCGGTCTGCATTAGGTATGCTAAACGCTGACCGGAAACTCCCGAGCCGTAATAAGCAGAACGCGGAAGTAGTTGTGCAAGTAGTCCATTGAGTTTCAGGCCAAACTAGACCGTTTCCCATAGGTCCTCTCAGTAGGAAACAAAGCCATCTGTTTATTTGGCTCTTGGTTTATTTAACAAAGTCAATCTCATTCTACTGTCACTCCAGTATGAGGAACGATATTGTCTCACATCGATCATCTTAGATGCTTGAAAAAGAATCCAATTAAACTAGAATAGAAAATGAGACCATAGATGAATTAGCCTCAATTATAAATATAATTATTTGATTAATTTATGAGAATGCTTTGTATGGTAATTAACCATGAAGGAAGTCAAATAAAGATGATGATGATCTTTTTCTACACATTATGTATAGGCTATCATTTATTAGTGAAGTTAGTTTTTTATTTTTATCGAGCTCTGCTTTTTCACGATACACAAGATGCTTTACAGAAAATAAGAGCCTGCAAAGTAACCCAAGAACTGAACTGCACTGATTCTCGGTTATAAAGAGAGCTTACTTTGTAACCAATCAAGTTTAAGATTCTGTTTGAGTTGTGTGGAACTGGACCAATCATAATTGAATATTCATTGTGTGATTATTCAATTATTGCGGCCCAACAGGATGTGAGGTGCGAGGCGAAGCTGCAGCGTTCAGACAGAGTGAGTTACAGATGAGAGTGAAGTTCATAAAAGTTCAAATATGATGATTCAAATATATATATTTTTGTATATATATATATATATATATATATATATATATATATATATATATATATATATATATATTAGTGCTGTTAAATGATTAATCACGATTAATCGCATCCAAAATAATATGTGTGTATAATTTGTATATTTATTATGTATATATAAATACAAACACGTGCATGAATATATTTAAGAAAAGTATGTTAAGTTTATATGTTCAGTATATTTATATATAATATAAAATATAAGAACATAAATATATACATGTAAATATTTTCAAAATATTTACTGTTTGTGTGCGTATTTATATATAGGCTAATCTACATCATAAATATACACAGAACACATACATATATTATGTAAATAAAAACTTTTACTTTGGATGCGATTAATCATTTGACAACACTAATATATATATATATATAGTATATAAGGTTATCATTAGCATAAGTCTCGAGTTGTAGTGTAGTTGTAGTGAGTGTAGTCTCGAGTTTGATTTGTTTAGTTTTTTTCGCGGTTGTCAGTGAAGACACGTGATGTAAACCGTAGAGATATGCTGAGGTAAAACTCTTCTTTATAATAATTCCCAGAAGATCAACAGTGGTTTCCATCAGCGGACTGACGGTTCTACCGACGCACACAGACACCGTCGAGTGCTAAAGCTTTGGATGTTCATTTTTATCGCCACTAATGCCAACTCGTCTGCCCATGCGTCAAATAGGAAAGCGTTTCCCCTATCTCGTGATTAAAAGCAAAGGTTTGTTGTTAAACAACACTACAATTAATTGAACGCACTTGTACCTCTATCCCTGTTTTTCATTTCTGCCAAAATTAAACATATGGCATACCTAGACTAAATGTCTTGAAATTACGGGATTTCGAACGCAAACACTTGCCGTAAATATGAGCGCACCTTTATAGTTGGCGTTCTCGCTGTGCCATTGCACTGTTAGGGGCCATTCACACAGAAAGCCTTTTTCTATTCCAATGCAGTACTTTTTCTTTTACTTTTTTAGTTCACCCAAAAATGTGCTCATCCGCAGGCCATGCAAGATGTAGATGAGCTTGCTTCTTCATCAGATTTGGAGAAATGTAGCAGTGCGTCACTTGCTCAGCAATGGATGCTCTGCAGTGAATGGGTGCCGTCAGAATGAGAGTCCAAACAGCTGATAAAAACATCACAATAATCCACAAGTAATCCACAGCACTCCAGTCCAGCAGTTAACATCTGGAGAAGACAAACGCTGCGTGTTTGTAAGA